GAATACTGAGGAAGTTGATGGCGAGCAAACTGAGGAAGTTGATGGCGAGCTTGCTGCGAACAAAGTGAGCAGCACGTGGAGACCTATTGGCTTCCACACTGCCCTGAAAATAGCACGAACCTTTTCTTTTCCTTTTGGTTCTATCACTGGACTTCCATTCCGCCAGGGGGGGGGGGGGGGTATCCCTGGAGCCGGAACAGTCCTCCTGTTCGGGTGAGCAGACTGTTTAGGTAGTTGACATACTTTAGACAAGTGACAAGTTGATCCCGGTGTGCTCGACCTTGTTGCTTTAGAAAGGGTTTCCGGAGGTGACTAGAAATCATTAATTTAAAGTCACATTGAATCAATCATTTAAAGTTAAGACGGAAACATTAATAAGTACTTGATTTCGAATAAAAGAGTCACTTCGGAGAGTTCATCTTCAAAAAAAATCTACAGGTGAAAAGGAGGGCGCCTCAAATGAGAATGAAGAAATTGTACAAATTGATAATCTTGATGACACTCTTGATGCAAATGTGTTGGATGCTGATAAAGAAGTAATTGAGCGTAACAATATACAAGAAGCCAATGATCACGAGGAAGTTCTCCAACCTACATTTGTTGATGAAGATCACGAGTTCGCTCACTGTGACCCTCCAAATCAGCAGATATTGTTTGATGATCCTCAGATGTAGAAGAATGTTGATAAGAAGTTTAGAGACTTTATCGTGGAAAGAGATCCGAAGAAAGATGATCGTTGTGTATTTCTAGAAGATGATGCGGGAATACATTTTGCAGCATCACAATATAAAAGAATACTGCTAAATGGGGAACCGAGTGATAGAAGATGGTTAATATACTCAAACTCCACGGACAAAAAATTGTGTTTGTGTTGCAAGCTTTTCAAGAAAACACAAGACCTGATTTGAATCCATTAGCTAATGGCGGCTTCAATGACTGACATAATTTGGGTCAATGCTTTCTGGAATCATCAAGTGATTATGGAACATATGGAGTGTATGGTTGGTTCGCTCGAACTGGAAACTAGGTTAATAAAACATAAGGTCATTGATGGCATCTTACAAATCCAACTCAACAAAGAAAAACAACAATGGGAACAAGTGTTACCAAGAATAATTGATATTGTTGTCCTATGGCTGGCGAAAAATAACTTGGCATTTCGAGAAAGCTGTGAGAAGCCTCGTAGGGGAAATAATGACATTTTCTTACAATTGATTGAAATGGTTGCGGCGTTTGATCAGACCATGAAAGAGGGACCTACATCTTATTATTGATCATGAGACTTATGCTACATATCTTGGCGGTAGGGGTGGGTCTGTGAAACCGGAAACCGAATCGACAAAACCCGAACCGGAAGCAAAACAAACTGAACCGCAAAAAAAAACGAAACCGAACTCAAAAACTGAACTAAAAACCGAATCGAACTGTAATTGTTTGGTTTAGGTTTTCACCTTGAAAACTGAATCAAACAAACCGAAAATTTTAAAACATTCTATTTTATTTATTTATCAACAATCATTAAGTACTTCGTATAAGAGAGAAAGTTCTCTAAATAGGACTAAAACATGGATGATATTCATAAATAGGATGATCAATGTTTTACTCCCAAAATATGACTCGTTTACTCCTATTTTGGGAAGTTTTAATCAAGTTATTCTTTTAATAGGACTAAATAAGTCATATTTGAGGAATAAAACATACTTGATCCTATTTTTGAAATTTGCGTATGTTTTGATTCTATATTGAGCGATTTCTATATATTAATATTTGGTGTAGTTCTTAATTCTAGAAATTTTATGTTTAATTCTAGTTATTTTGATTTGCAAGACTTTTGATATTTATGACGTAACTAAGCGAAACACTTGTACATACACTATAGTCTATAACTATAATACTAATACTTTGATATTTTAAACTCTATTTTACATTTTGATTGGTGTTGCATGACAATGATATTCTATAGTTATAATTAGTTACTTGTGTTCGTTATCACATAATTTTATATTACTCAAAAAATGTGTATTAATATAAACTATACCTTAGACAACATAACACAAAAAGTAAAACTTTAGAGCATATATACCTTTGTCTAAAGAGAAAGAAGAGTAAGTTATTCACTATTAATAAAAAAAATTAGTAAAAAGAAAATGAATTAGTGGACACAACATTTACAAATAAAATGTTGATTCTTGCGGATACACTATATATAATTCGTATATAAACTTATGCATTTAATTAATTTATAAAATGTTTAAATTGATACACACACTCTCTCTCTCTCTCATTCATTTCTTGGAAGCACATTTACTTAATTTATTCTTTCTTTTTCAATTATGTTTTTGTATTATATTACGTAGTACTATTAATTATAGTTTAACGATTGTCTCAAACATGTTGGGAGAGTCATGTTGAAAGTTTCAAAGTTATAATAGAGAAACTTGTGCAAATTAGAGATGCTTTAATTGACTTGACAAATGACACTGAGGATCCAAAAACTGGAAGTGAGGTTGAATCCTTATAGTATATGAACTTGAGAATTGTTGGTCCCGGTTAATGAGGTAACAGTCTAGAGGGGGGGGGGGGGGGTGAATAGGCTGTTATGGTTTTTAACTTTTTCAAGCTAAGTACCAAGGTTAACAGAATAGCCTGTTCTTTTGAGAACAGACTGGCAGCGGAGGTCTTCTGGTAGGTGTTCTGTCGGGTTAGCCTCACAGAGGGGCAAAGGCACTTGGCCTTCTGTTAACTCACAAGAGGTGTTCTGCTGAACACAGATACCACTTCTTTGGAGTTAATCAGTTTGCAAGTAAAAAAAGCAGTAAGTAAATGACACCAGGGATTTTTATAGTGGTTCAAGGAACAACCCGTTCCTCTAATCCACTGTTCCACTAAGCTTGTAAAACAACGGTTACACCGCCTTAGTCCCTAGAACTTAAGAAGCTCTCCACGTCTTCTTCAAGTCTAGATATCTCCTGGGATGCACTTCCTTGCTTCCTTTAAGACTGGTCCTTTCACTGAGCTTCCCGGAAGTATACCCGCTTCACTACTCCAGTTACTTGGACTCCCTTCTTTGTAGAAGATGTTCTGTTGAAAACAGGGGTTTCTCCAACTTTCTTCGTCACAAAAGATTTGTAATGAGATGCTTGAAGTTGTTGAAGAACAATAGGAACTTTGCTCTTGTTGGTGATGAAGAACTTATGATCTTCCCAACGTAGGCTTTTTTTGTTGATGGAGTTGAAGTTTTAATCTCAAGAAAGCTTTTTAATGTTGTAGTTAGAGCTCAAGATGTAGCAAAGTTATTTTGTTGTTCTTCGGGTAGTATCTTTTATACTGAGGTTGTCTTCCCGTTGGAGGAGGAGACAACTGCATTGAATGCGCGTACTATTTGAGTTGACCGGCTGGGCCCGCAAGTTTGGCGGCTTGCTATTTTGGGATAGGCTTTCCTGGAATCTCGGTCAATCATCAGCTTTTACTCTTCGGAGTATGGAGCTCATTAAATGAGCATTAAATGATGTCTTGTAGCATTTCCGTTGAGTATGAGCTAGCCGTTGAGGGAATCTTCCGTTGAAGTATACCGGCGATGTAGTTAGCAAACTTTCTAGGTGTTTGATCTTCTGATGCAGAATTCAGAAGGGCAGGTTCCAGAGGATCACGAGCTCTTCTGATCATTAGAACTCCAACAGAATACCATGTGCACTTCTGTTGGAATAGGCTATCAGAGAGTCCTTGTCCTTGAGTCAATATATAAAGGCCAACAGAGGATCTTTTGCACTCATGTTCTGATGAGATTCTACAGAGAGGCAGAGGACCTTCTGTCAGGATAGAGGTTCATCAGAGGGCCAAAAACAGCTTCTGTCTGGAGGTCTTCTGTTAGTCGATTATTCTAAGAATGCTTACACTTAGAAAAATTCTAATACAACAATTCTAATGGGGGTACTCTAATGTTCTAATAAATCTAGCATCATCAAAATCTTAATACATTTATTCCTTACAAGAATTTTGAGTTTTTGCTAGGTGTGGTGATATAGTACAAGTTGGTCAACGTTATCAACACAGTTAGTAAATATCTTCAATCTGAGAATATGGATATTAATGTTGCTCTAAATGTTTTGCAAGGACTTCTGTTATTTATCGAAAAATTTATCAAACCTCGTTTTGAAAAAGCTATGGATGAAGTCAAAGAAATGGCCAGTATGCTCGGAATTTAAGGATTGTTTCGTGAAAAATGAATTATTCAAAGAAAGAAGTAATTTGATGAAAGTAACAATGAAGAAGGCACACGGTCATCTCGGGGTTTCTTGGAGTGACTTCTTGTGACCATGGGATGCAAAGTGTATCCCACCTCATATTATAGTTGTGTATCCTCTTGAGGTGTGGATGGTTTATTGATATTGCTCTTTGAGATTTTTTCCTTTTTCTTACTTGTCTGAATCCCTTGGGACATTCCTCCTCGTCTGTCGGAGTATCTGTAACAGTTGAAATTTTTTGTAAATCAGAGAGGTCCTCAGAAAGTATTTCATCATTGGACAGATTCGGGGTAAATGTAATATAATCTTTGGGCGGATCAGAATTGAATTCATCATCTACGATATTCGGTGTCTATTCTCTGGGAACATTGTGTGTTTCAACAATGTATGCTTCAGTGGGACGAACTACGCCATCAGTTACTACCTGATGAGAGGTAGCAACCGGGGGTCCATCAAACCTAACTGTAGCATCAAAAGGGATCGGGACAGGTATATCAGGCATAGCTTACTCATTACTAATTGTGAAACCATATTCAATATGGGCTGGGATGGATTGTTCAACAAGGACATGGAAATCATCAGAACTGGCTCTTAAAGGGTCTTCATAAGTTGCTGTAAAACCAGAGTCAACAATGGCTTTTTTAGTACCAAATGCAGCAGTTTGGAATGTAATATCATCCAAATCAGTATTGATATTATCAACCCGAATATCAAGGGGGGCAAAAACTTCTTTTTGAGCTTGAAAAAGGACCCAATCAGATGTAACAGTATCACAATTAACATTGAAGGCATCAGAAATCCCAGATGGGGCAACACCAGTTGTGCTACCGGTGCCACCAGCCACATCAACTTCCACAGGACCACTAACAACTAGAGATAAATCTACATTAGCGTTCCAGGCATAAAAAAGAATAGATTGGGCAGCACTGGTTGTGCTACCATTGGCACCAGCAAATTGAGCTTTCAACTGGGGTATTTGAAACCAAATTCAATGCATCAACAAATGGAGATGGGGCATCACTGGTTGTGCTACCAGCGACACTATCAACATCCACAGAGCCACAAGCAACAGAAACTGGATCACAATCATCGTAAACAACCAAAGGAACAGAATCATCACAAACATAATTAATAACCGGAACACAAGCATCAGACAAAACCAAAGGAATGAGAGTGAATGGTTTCTTAATGCATACTTGATGCATACATTGCATATAAGATCTTGTTGACGATACCCGTGACAATAGCAACTGCTAAAAGAAGTTTCTCAAAGTTGAAGCTTATAGAGATATTTTACGATCAAGTATGCCTCAAGAAAAGTAGAATGAATTAACTATGTTATTAATTGAGAAACAATTTATTGATGACATATTTTGCGGGCTTGATTAATAGTTAGCATCTAAAAATGTTGGACAAATTGTACTTGATGAGATTTTAGTATATGCAAAGTGTCATTTTGTTATAATGTCAGATTTTTTTAATGTAAATTATTTAATAAAGTATTGCATTTTTGTGGTATTTAATTTAATTTAATGATTAAATTTAGCTGAAAAATGATGGTCATACAAATATTCAACCTTACCCGTTTCTGTCGCTTTGTTTCTTTCATTTTTGGTTTCAGCAATACATCCGAAATTGCGAGCGACTCTCTAACCTCGGTCCGTCTTCCCCGATCAAAATTCCTTCCGCTCTTCTTTTCAAGGTATTCCTCAAATGCAATGTGGTACCTTTCATTTTTTTGTGTCATCTTATGAGATGTAAAAAATCTAGCTTATATTCTCTATTATTTTAAAATAGAGAATCTTTCTCAACAATGCAATCTATCTATATTTATGTATATATATTTGGAGTTGTCACTTTTTCTAAGAATGAGTAAGCTGTATGAATAGGCTCAAATATGAAGTTTTAAATAGCAAACCTCATCACTGCATCATGTCGGGTTTTACATGCTGGATTGAGACATTCAAAACGGCCACATCTCGGTGCCACTTTTCTGGCACAATCTCTGCAAGCTAAATACCACCATCCATCTCCGGTTTCAATATCAATAATTTCTCCAGTGACCCAAAAACGTCCATTCTAAGATATGTTTACAACTGTCATGAGTTGTTTCTAATCTATAAAAAATCATAGAAAAGAATTTAAAAAAACTACCAAGTTTTCTTGAAACAGTGATTCAATTGTCACAAAATCTCCTTCTCTTGAACCATGCTCCTCTTCTTCTGTTGTCACCACAATAGGTTGACCATTGTAGCCCTCATCTCCATGCAAGTCAAACCTACAATATGAAGTATGTCAGTCTTAATACAGGCTATCATTCACTAACATCTTAAAATACATTGCATACTATGTAATGCACATTTTATCATAGTAACCTATCTTTGTAGTCCAAGATCTCTTGATCTGAGCCATTGATAATTAGCCTTGATCCATTGTAACTATTGGTCATGTACACATCTCCTTTGTATAGTCTTGGGTGAACCATTAGAACCACGACAATCATAAAGTTTGGTGTCTTTTCTACCCCACGCCTTATTGCGTCGACAAAATCTGCCCACAGGGTGCACCTGATATTTTGTTGGCTGTAGTAGGTTTGTAAAATTATAAGTAAATAAATTTTAAATTAAGATGTATTAATTGATATATTGAAACTGGAATGCTACAACATTAAGAGCAAACAATTCGTAAGTGTATTTCTATAAAAAAAAAACACAAAACTATTGTTGTGAAACTGGAATGCTACAGCATACTTTGGGTCTTCCCAAACCAATTCAACCAATTTTTGTGTTGCTCCATCACGTTCGCGTGGCATAGGAAAGTGGATAGACCTCACGCTCCCGATGATATCTGTGCACCCAATTGTTAGTTAAATATTAAAAGTCATTCTAAATGTGACAACTAAATAAATATATTAAATATATATACAGAAAATTATACCAAACATTTCTGTCAAGTCAACTTGGTTTGCGTATTGAAGGTCCAAAAAGGGTTTGAAATTGAACATCATCCTTGGGAATTCAACATCATTGTCAACCAATGTTGTCCTGTGGTTGAAAATGATGTTAAATGCACAATTTGTTGTCCTGTATTTCATGGAATTAGGAGTGACAACAAAATTTCTTAAGATGTAAACTTTTCCTTCTTTTATGCGTTCCTTAAAAGCTCCAAGCCTTTCCCTGCGAATGGTGGCATGAACTCTGTTGCCCTGAATAAGTAAAAACCTATTCAGTTTGCATCAAAATTAAACTATGAGGTGCATGAAAAATAATCTAAAAATTAAAAATTACCTCCTGATCATGAAACACACACTCCATGGTGTTGATCACGTTTTTGTTGGTGAAAAGTGGGACTGGATAGAAACGCACCAGTCTGACCCTCAATGCCCAATTTGTCTTTGATGTGTTGAGTTCCTGAATCCTGTTGAACATCTTCAGCCTTGGTTGTCTTGAACTCTCTGCAAGTTAAAAAGTTAGCTACCAGAATAAAATTCATTTTTTCTAGTAATTATTCCTAAAACGATGTATATCAGAAAGTGAGAAATATACTGAAATTCGTCTGCTTGAGTTTGATGGTTTAACGTTGTGTGATGCAGGATATATATAATGCTTGAGTCAATGAAAACTGCTATGGACATACCATCATGGTCGTGCATGATCGTGATGTAACTGTTCCACAATTGCCATGTGTTTCGTTCTGAGAAAAGCAAGGAATGTGGGATGTGAATTTATATTTTTTTAATTCACTGTTCTGATTTCTGACACGTGTAATAGATCAAAGGCCAGTTTTGTTCAGGATGTAGTCACGATTGTGCTTTTATATATATATAGATTTTTGGTTTCAGCAATACATCCGAAATTGCGAGCGACTCTCTAACCTCGGTCCGTCTTCCCCGATCAAAATTCCTTCCGCTCTTCTTTTCAAGGTATTCCTCTTATTCGCCCTGCAAATTTTCCATCAACACACACGCACGCCTCTACTTTTTCTCTCATTCTTCTTTCTTGATCTCATCGTTCTAGGGTTTCACTTTCAGCTCGCTTTATTGTTTTACCTTTAACTCCGATATCTTTCTTTGTGCATATTGTTTCTATCTTTTCCCCACATTGAATCTTTTTGACCAATTTCATTCAAAAAATATCGGAAATATTGCTATTCGTCGTCAAGCTTTTCTCTCTCTCTCTCTCTCTCTCTCTCTCAAACAAGTTCACCCAACACCTCTATGGCATTTGAATGCCAACAATCTACTGAAACAAGTTCAGACAACTCTGGCATAAGCAAAGCTGAACATAATTTATCCGGATCTTCAACCAATCAAGGTTACACACTTTATTCTGACATTCAAAAACCCGTATTGAAATTGAATGCCAAGCATTGTGTTTCTATTACAAATGGTGACGGAATCCGACCTACTCCAAGATCAATAAACGATCTCCCTCAAGCTTTAATATCTGAAATCCTCAACTGCTTAGACCCCAAGGAGCTTGGCATAGTCTCCTGTGTCAATTCTTCATTGTATCAGGTTGCATCAGAGCACCAAGTGTGGGAGGAGTTTTACTGTGAGAGGTGGGGGAATCCAACGGTCCCTATAGCATTGGGGCCGGATAGCTCAGGTTTGAAGACAAAATGGAAGGACCTTTTTGTGGAGAGGGAGTTTCGTAGCAAAACATTTTTAGGTAGATACACTGTTGACACCTTATATGGTCATACTGAAGCAGTTAGGGCGGTTTTCATCCTGTCTTCAAAGAAGCTTCTTTTCACTTCTGGGTATGATCAGATTGTGAGAATGTGGGACCTGGAAGAAGGGTTCTCTGTTTCGTCTTCCCGCCCTCTTGGTTGCACTGTCCGTGCCGTTACCGCTGATTCAAAACTATTGCTGGCTGGTGGGACCGACGGGTTCATACACGGTTGGAGGGCAGAAGAGGGAAACACCCGCTTGTTATTTGACTTTAAAGCTCCTCAGAACCAAAACACAGAATTTAGACTTTGGGAACATCAAGGTCCTATAACCTGTCTTGCAGTGGCCTTCAACAAGATTTATAGCGGTTCGTGGGATATGACTGTCCGTGTTTGGGACCGTTCTTCATTGAAATGTTTGACAGTTCTGATGCACAATGATTGGGTTTGGAGTCTCGCCCCTCATGATGATACAACAGTGGCAACCACCTCGGGATCAAGCATATATCTATGGGACGCCGGATCCGGGATGAGACTTTCTGTTATTGACAATGCTCAAATGGGGAATGTTTACTCATTGGCAAGGAGCCATACTGGAAAGCTGATATTCACCGGGGGAGAAGACGGGACCATACACATGTTTGACGTTGTGAAGAATCTAAGGTTGCGTTTGAGGAAGGTTGCCATGTGGGCTCCTCACTCAGGCCCTGTTTATTCTCTCGTGTTTGAGTTTCCATGGCTTGTTTCTGCTTCAAGTGATGGTAAACTTGCACTCATTGATGTAAGGAAGTTGTTGAAGACGAGTAAGTATTCAGCCTCTAGGAGCTCTTATAAGGTTGAGAATCTGAACCACCACAAGGGTATGCCTGACTCCCTAAAATACTAGGGAAAGGAAAAAACATACTTTTGTGATTCCTCTTGTTTCATTTTATTTTAAAAAATGGAAAGGACAACGAAACATGATTAGTTTCTTTAAACAATTATATATTTGTGTGTGTGCGCGTGTATAGATTTCTTACTCATTGTGTCCCCCCACCACAAATGATCAGTCGCTCTAGCATTAAAATTTCGTTCCAAATCAAGTGTCATTTTAGGATGAGTACTGGAAACAATAACTCTCATTAAAGTATTGTATGGAATCAGTAAATACAAAATACTGCAATGTTCCATATCTTGAGATAAAAAGGCAAAATCTTTGTGATAAAAATGACATTTCCAAAGAATAACTAATAAAAAAGAAAATCACACTCTGTATAACATTATAAATCTTGATAAGCAAGTCTTTTATATGATTTCTTAGTTCGTGTGATATATTCTAACACGATCAATATATGAGGAAAGAGAGAGTAATAGAATAGATTAATAAGATGACTTCGAACATAATACGATAGTACTAAAATTTGTTTTTATTGAGTGAGTGTATTTTTTTTTACTTCATTCTAATTTGATTCCCTATTTTCTTTTCCAGGGTTTTCCAGGTTCCAAGCTGACGCTAAAAGCATTGAGCCTCCACAAAGGATGCTGCATGGATTCGGGTCCAATTTGTTTGCAGTTGATGTTGGTTTGGACCGGATCGTGTGTGCGGGTGAAGAAGGTGCAGTTCGGATATGGAACTTCTCTCATGCATTGGAAATAGAGGAGAGAGTGCGTGCTTTGAGAGGGTTAAGGTTAGAGAATAGAATGAGGAGGCGTAAGTTGAATGGAAAAGGTGGGGATCAGTGTTGTGTCGCAGCAAAGAAGAATCAAATCAATGGGGATAGGAATGGATGGCAGAACAAGCGTAGGGTGAGTGGGAAGCTGAAGGCATAGTTAGTAGGACTGGATGACTCAACTCCTAATGAGTGATTAGTAGCAGTAAATCGCTAAATCAATAATCATGCAGCTACACTCATATATATATATAGTTATATACACCTACTGTTCACCCATTGTTTGCTGCTTTCTGATTCTAGTTTGTGAATGCATTCCATTTTCGTTCAATTGTTTGTTCTCCAAAGATGGGTGCGCACCTTTCTGGCCTGCAATCAGAACTGGTCAACGGGGACTGGAACCCGAACTACTGGCCCAATGAGTTGGGACCAGGACCTCTCGACTCGCAATTCTGATTTAGCCAAGAGATTTAATCGGATTTTCATTCTGAATTAGAATTCTTCATTTGTTTATTTCTTTACTTTTAATAAAAATTTGAAATAGCTTTACAAAACCGGAAGATTGCATTTTTTTGTTTCTAAATAAATAGGCGAAATAATTGGAATCAAAACCAATTTTTCCAGATAAATAGGCAAAAAATCGTTAATTTTTTATTGATTGACACTTGTATGTTGCGGCCTAAGGAGTAACATCTCCATTTGTAACAACGACAACCAAGTGAACCAACTAATCAAGAAGGCTATGAATGTTGCTCATATGAACAGTATAACAATTGTGCTTATCTATTCATTTACATTGGTCACGAACAAAGTGTTTGAAATTAAATCTTAATAATATATTTTGTTATGATTTGCAAAAAAACATCAACATATGAAATTCAAACCGCTCAAAGCGCACGGGTGAGAATTGTAGTAGATAGAAATATAGAATAGCAATATTTTAAATACAATTGCGAAAATTTCTAGGTAAAGTAAAGCTATGGTAGTAGTTATTTGTCATGTGTATAATTGTTTCTGTTTGAGCATCATTCATATAGTTTGATGAACTGCACAGTTATGTGCATAACGGATCCCTCCTGATTAGGATTGGCTGTTGTAAATGACTAATAAATGTAGAAGAAAGTCGAGCAGATAATAACAAGTCTGAATGTCTGATTGGTGTTTATAAAGTTTGGTAAATGACGGAGATTGCATAACATTTTCAATTGAACCTGAAAGTGACTAAACGAATACATGAAATATTCATATAACTCAAGGGCAATGTTTGTTTATTGCTTAGAAAGTTGATCCTTCCCAAAGATTTGATCCAGGCTTTCATTTATTTTAACTAGTGGATATTTGATCATTCTTACAGAATCAGATAGAGCTGGTCATAAAAAACAAGAAACGGTTCTTCTTAAATTGGCATATGCTTGAATAAAAAATACGGCGCTGGAGAGTGGAGTAGAAAGCATATTAAAATTCAGCCATTTCAGTTTGGTCAAAGTAGCATCCAGTGGGTCCCCCTCGAGGAAGGAGAGCCAGCATTGCGGGACCTCGAGCTCCCTCCTCTGCAGTCAGTGTGCCAATTGAGGTCTGTGTTGACATAGCCGGGATGGACGCAGTTGATGCACATGTCAGGGTGCTTCTTTGCCACAAGTCTGGTGTAGGCGTGTAGCGTTGCCTTTGATATGCTATATGCAGGTAGCATCATTTGCCACCCGTTAGCTTCCAGTTTTCCATCTTTCAGATCACACAAAAAGTTGTGCAGAATCTCGTCCACTGTCTCTTCTGTCAGATTATCAATGTCCCCGAGCAACTTCCTTCTCTGCTCGTTGGGAATGCGCTGCATAAACCCGGCCAGCCCCTTGACCACTTATTAGCTAGATTTGCCATAACTAAATATATAGCCCTTCTAATCTATTGAAAGAGTATGTTTTGATGTTCATACTGCACTTGCATGGCGTTTTCTAAAAGCATTTTGTGGGAAATATTTAAAACTTGTTTTTAGAAAAAATCTTCCAGGCACAGTATGAGGGCATTTTAATTTGTGTAAACACTCAACTCCCAGGATATCTTTTAGTTTCTTGTTTAAAAATTTTAGAAACTTCGAGGACCATTTGGTGATTTGTCTAAGCCTAGAGGGAGGTAGATGCAATTAACCCAAAATATATGTGTTGAATGAGAAGCCAGTTCTCATGAAGGTGTTAGTTTGATCTATAGCAATGGGCTAGGGTGATATGTTTACATTAATGATGTAAAATATTACGAAAAGCCTATTAATTCTACTTAATTACCCTTAATTCACTCCTGAGAGGAGATATTTACTATCCTTGCCCCTTGGCTGGAACGTTGTAGCAAAGGAAGAAGTGCTTCTGTCACCATCTTCACTCCATAGTAATTAGTATCAAGGCATTCTTTTGCCTTCTCATATGTTGTCTTGATTGAACCTTGAATCAAATCAACAGCCTTCCCTGCAAGCTTTGTCGTGAAAAATGCAGAATAAGATTAGTCCATTAACAATAGGTGTGGGAGCTTTCTAAAGAGCTTAAAACTTATTTAAAGCTTCAAGTAAACAATTAATTCTGTTGGGTAAATACTAAACAGAATGATAATTTTTACGATGAGCCCTTATCGTTAAAACTATCGATCTCTCGTAGCATTTCAGAAATAATCCACTAGCTGGCCTTTTATATGTTTCCACTAATAAATTTATTCTTTATAAACAATGAACATTGTTTATCCATTTTCAGGCAATACAAATAAATAAGTAATGCAATTTTATGTCTTTTAGATAAACCAACTACTTGAGAGCTAATATTACCGCACTTGTATACCAATTAGTAGAACTTTCAGCTTGTGGCAATATACTTTTCAGCTTTCAGCGGGCTTTTCAGCTACTCATGCAAAAAAAAGACATTTGCTTGAACTCGAATAATCACTGATTGTTACCCTGGCCTTTAAGTAATGAGCACGTGCATATAGGACACGAACTATGGTGCTGTGAACGTTATGTTTTAAGTACATTTTCTCAAACACCACAACAAATTAAAACACAACCAAGGGCTTTTTAGATCATCGTATACTTGAGCTAGCTAGGTTAATCCCCGACAAGTCAAGCAGTAGACCTCAACATTTTTTATTATCTGTTGTGGCGCGGAGAATCAAAAGTATGACTCTTGCTTTCCAATTGGCTGGCTGTTTTTGCATTAATTGCTGCTTCTCCTCGGGACTGATTGAGTAACAAAAATGTTATCTTTTACGGATTGGATTAGTCTTTCTGGTGGGTGGGTGGGTGGGTATACTCACATCGCTAGCTTATCTATTGATGATCCTACTAGCTTTTCGTCCCAAACTAAAAACAAATCTTACAGCATTACTACATGTAGTTAGTTGTTAATCCGCGACCTTGTCTTACCCAGTCTAAAGGGGCTATATTTAACTCCCTTAAGGCTTCTTCATCAACAACAACTCCACTAGCTCCTGCATTGTTTACCTACAGTGGCAAGACAATAAAGGGGAAAATATGAAAGAAAAGTAAAAAGCCAATCAACCAGAATATCAAGCCTTCCATATTGTGCTTTTAGGTAATTTTCCAAGCGTGGTACGCCGTGCTTATCCAGAACATCAAGCTGGTGGAAAACAACATTTGAAAGGCCTTGTTTGTGCAGCAATGACACAGCTTCCTCCCCCCTATTCTCATCTCTAGCCGTTAGGAGGCCAGCTTCCGCACTATCTCCACCCCGATTCCCTTGTTTGCACCTGTCACTACTGCATACCTGTAAATTCATTTAATATAAGTGACCCACCCTTTCATTATTTGATTCTTCTGCTGCTTAGTAACTCAGTATATATGCTGGTTGCATTGGCTGTTAAAAATGCCTAGTAAAAGTATTGCCATTTTTTCCTTTCTGGCCAAAACATTTTCTTCACGTTAACATCTTTTTTTAATTATTTTTTTTGAACATCGTGAATATCGCGTCGAAAATTGAACATAGGTGAACCACATCCTATATATACGTGAAAATTTTGGAATTCCGTAAACACATATGAATAGAAAAGGAAAAGGCAGGAGTAGAGGAGGATAAAATCCGATATGAATAGAAAAGTTAAAAAGTTAAAGTGTTGACCTAACCCCAAATTTCAACACCGAATCGGATACGGATATGGATACCAAATAACCTAAAAACACGTAAAAGCACCCATAGTGCTACCAGTTGGTATACCGAGGGAGTAGTCCACGGTAGTCCTGGACTCGGGCCGGGTGACCCGACCCGGGACCGGCCCGGGACCGGTACTGTGCTGAACCAGCCCGGCCCGGTGGCCCGGCCAGTGACCGGTCCGGGTAGGCCCAGCCCGGGGGTTTCCCGGTGCGGGCTCGGGTCACCCAAAAGCCGAACCGGCCGGGCCGGTTCGGGCCAGGTTCCGGGCTTTTTAATTTTTTTTTAATTTTTTTTTTTAAACTTTTCGGGTTGGGCTGGGTATTTTGGGTCATTTGGGGTGGTTTGGGGGTTGGGGGTGGGGGAGGGGGGTTAATTCGGAAAAGGAAAAAAAATGACCCGAGGCCCGGCCCGGCCCGGACCCGGTGGCTACCCGGGCCCACCTATTCAGAATCAGCGGCCCGTCCGGGCCTAGGCCCGGCCCGGACCCGGCCCGGCCCGAATCCAGCCCTAGTCCACGGTGAGCATGCTGCTCTGATAGGCAAAAAATGAATGTTATTGTTCACACGCGTAAAGCAATGTAACTCAGGCTCATAAAAAATATAATTGCAAGCAAGTCAAAATGTAACTTGTCTAATACAGATTATAAGAAAGAACACATTGATTTTAATGAAAACAAGGAGTCTAATTGCTCAATTACTTTAAATGCCAAAAAATACAGACAAAAAAATTGGTTGTAGTTTAAGATGAAGAAAAAAGTAAAGAAGTAGTGTATGATTATGAAATACAATATACTTATTTTGTGTGGGTTAATAAATTTTTTTAATGAATTGGTAAAGAAAGAAGTTAATTCAGTTGTAATTTAATTAGTTAAAGATAAGGATAAGTAAAAATAACAAATAATTAGATGTAAATCATGCATAATTAGATATAACTCACGCATAAAAAGGTGTAACTTGCGTATAAGTAGTTATAACTCACGCATAATAAGATGTAACTCACACAAAATATGATCAAATGTAACTCCAAGAATCAAAATAAATTAATCCTCATGTTTTCTTTTTGATAAATATTTGAATTTGTATTTTTGTAATAGTTGAAGAACAAAAGTGCTGCATAATCAACTTTGTGACATTGTAATATGCATCTATGAATAGTTGATTCAATATATATATACATACAATATGAATATTCAAATATTTTACAATGTATATCAATTGATTCAATATATATATAATACATTTCAAAAATACAATTATGAAAAATTTTGCCATGTGTCATCTTCTAAGCAAGCATCATTATAATATTTTATATTCTCTTTTCAATTTAAGTATACCTCCGTTACATAGTATTTTACTTTGATTAGAACTAATGTTACGTAGTCTATATAAAAAACTAAGCTATGTGTTGGAAATTAGAATCTACTTAATTCAAAAATTCAATTCCCATGTTTATTTTAAAGTGATATGCTTTTTTATTTGTACTCTGATTGTTACAAAAAATATATCAAAATTTATAATTTTTTATTATCTTTCATATGACAGCAATATTGAATATATAAAAATTAAAAAATAATTTAACAATTTTAAAAAAAATACTCCCTCCGTCCCAATTTGTAAGATACATTTCGGTTTACGATGTTTGACTGACGAAAAAGCAAATTGATCCCTGTCAACACCCAAATTAGTTCTAGAAAATAAAATTTACATATTCAAAAACTACATTAAATCCGCTACAAAACCTGCAAAAAATAATTCAAACTTCATAAACTTTTGATATATAAAATAAAAGTTTAGAAGTGATTTATGTTGACCAAGTGAATAGTAAATGTATCTTACAATTTGGGACTGAGGGAGTACCTATTTTTTAAGTCTTATATCTTTTGTAGTTGTACTCTGATTGTTACAAAAAATATATAAAAAATAAAAACTTTTTATTATCTTTCATATGACACCAATGTTGCATATATAAAAATAGTAAAGATTAATTCTATTAATTTTTGCAATTTATGATCGTTTTTACAGTGCACATAATTAATCAGGAGTGATAAACTTGGAATAAAAATGCACCAACTCCATCACTTTTATTTATTGTTTTATTCTTTTCACTAGAATTTGTGCAGTTTTATTTTAAGCTACCACTGCAATTAATAGTGTGCATGGTACAAAACGGTCACAAACTGCATAAGTTAATAGATTGTTTATATATGCAACATTGATGCCATATGAAAACTAAAATAATAAAAATTTTGATATAATTTTTGTAACAATCGGAGATGAATAAAAATTATAAGAATTTTAAGAGATTGATGCTATTTCAATATTGGTGTCATTAAAAAAAGTTATGAATTTGATATTTTTTTGGGTGACTTATTCGACCCTTTTCATGCAACTTCGAGTACCAATCTGATCCTTACCTCGAAATTCGGAGTACAAATAGTGTCATTAAAAATATTTTCTTTCATATGGCACAAATGTTTTATTTATATATTGTAGCAAAATATATAGCACACTTTCCATATATTTTAGATAAAAAAAGTTATAGTGCACGACAAAATTTCCATAATTTAAAAATTATGGAGTCCTTCCTATAATTTAGAATTCCATATATTTTAGATTAGAATTTAATAAATCTCTTGAAAGTATTTATGAGTAAAATTTGGATTTAATTAGCTTACTATGGAGTTATATATAATCACTATACAACTATACAAGCAGAAGTGAGATGTACATATAAATTTAAGAGCTTTTTTGGTAACACCCAAATTAGCTGTAGTGGCTTATTCTGTTGAAATTTATGAAGTTCTATCTGGAGTGACTAGATTGACTCATTTTGTTGATTTATGATTTTTTTAATAAAATAAAGAAACAGTTATATCAAAAAACTAAAATTATCCTACAGAGTAACTTAAACCAATACCGCCAGAAAAGTAACTTCAACTTTACTTTGTCTTATTATTACACAATTCAGCGCGCGAAATCAAAAGTTACGTGTTTCGTGAAGAAGTTGAGTTGTAAGCCCGATAAGCCGCAAAACAGTGTCACCAAACGGACTCTAAATTAGCTTGTTATGGAGTTAATCATTCGTATTTTAAAAGTATTCATGAGTAATTTTTTTTGTCACAAAAAATTGAGATGATAACACATGATTAGTTTATTACTAAAATGCAAAAAGCAACTTTAAAATGATTATTCTTGTTATCTAAACAAAAGAAAATGCTTCCCTTCATAATGTTCACACTTGTTCGCTCTCAATAAAAAAAAATTCTTGAATAAGTGCACTGGGAGCTTTGATGAAATTGATTGAAAGTTTAGAAAAAGATTCTTCATCACTCCCTTTTGATGTATGATATGTCATGGGGTTTTGAATTGAGGTGTTTAGAAGCCTTTCTGGGATATTAGGTTCTGAACTGATGTATCCGGAAACCATGTTGTACGGCAGGTTATGGGCCGCTTTACTCAGAAGCCAAGGGTGGTTGCTTAGCAGCTCGATTTCCCATCATGTGTGTGGAGCAGAAATTTTAGGTGCCACACATTTCACTGAACCGAATGACGAATGGTGCTCAGTGAGGATGTAATTACACTTGGATTGTTAATGTATTAGGAGTAAAAGTAAGTGTTGGAAACGAACTTACCCGTTTTCACAGATCTGAAACTCAACTGGACTACACTTTTCAGATTTGATATACGTGGTTCAGATGGGGGAGAAGGTCAGAGTGCTCAATCAGTGGTTTCACATTGCCTTCATCTTCGAGGTGAATATTGTCGGTCTGCTTGCAGGTGTATTTTTCATGAGAGAATTCCCCAAATAGGAGTAAAAAACGTTTTGAAATTCCAAAATAGGATTATCATGTTTTTTATTCCTTGAATAGGAGTAATCTGCCAAGTTTGGAAGAAAATGCCATGTTTAAAAGCATTGTAATGTCAAACTTGGCAGAAATTTACTCCTATTCAGGGAATAAAAAACATGATACTCCTATTTTGGAATTTCAAAACGTTTTTACTCCTATTTAGGTCAATTTCTGATTTTTCATCCATTCCACCGGAGATGAGGACAAATGTGAAGGGGCAACTAAGGAGGAAGAGGAGGAGGGTGAGATGAGGCAGCGAGAGGTGAAGATAAGGAGTATGCTGGAGACGAGGAATATAAGAAAGGGATATGGGGTAAAATGGGCGCAGAGGATGAGAGAAGATATAAGGTCATAAGAAGGAGAGATGAGAAAAGATATAAGGTAAAGTGGGGCGGTAGATATTAAGATGGGAGGGGGTGAGTTTGATGGGAGATGCAGTTTAGGGATATTTAAGTCATTTAACCCCCAATGGCATATAAAAAAAGATGTGTAAAATTTAATACGAGTCATATAAAAAAGGAAAGTGAAAATTTAAATACAAGACAAAAGGAGTATTTTTTCCCCTTGAGTGGCTCATATGAAACTTCTCTACCCGTGCATCCCAGAGAAAAGTAGTGTTCCAGAATTTTTAAAACTCATGTTGAGTTTTGTTATTAATACTACCTCCGGTTTTTTTTAATCTTCACAGTTTGACTTCACACAAAATAAGGAAAGAAATTTGACTTTACTGTAGAGTACACTGTTGAGGCACTGTTTGACACTGTTTGGCACTGTAGAGACACTGTTTGGCACTGTTGAGACACTGTTTGGCAC